TTTTGGGGAAAAAAAGGAAAATTTTGGAAAAAAAGTAAAAATTTGGGGATAATTAAAAATTTAATTTTTTTTTTTTTTTTTTTTTGGTGGCCCTAATCCTCTTTTGTAGTTTTCCCACCAAACACACACCTTATTGAATTGCAGCATCCTATAAAAAAATATTTTTTGCATTTCTGAAGGTGCTGCAATTGCAAAGAAAAAGATGATGAAGAAGTTTGGTTGGTACAAACACAGTGAGGACGGAGGAGGTATGAAAGCCATGAGCTCCTTTTCTGTTTATTTTATTTCCAGCTGCTACAGTGTGCAGACTATTTTGTATGTTTAACAGAGTCGGACTCCGACGATGATATTGCATATCTCGACGATGATAGTGGCTTCTGTGCTTCACTCATGTAAGGCAACAGAGGAAAGACAAATTTCAGTAATTAATCAATTAACTATTGTGCTAACATGCCTCCCATTTTCTCTTTTTTAAGGGCGAAGATGATGGCCAACAGCTTTTGGTGAGACTTTTTTTTTGTAAAAACCTGTGAGCAGCACTCACATTCATTGAACTTCTTTGTTAGTTTTTGTCTTAATAATTAGCACTAACTGGAAAACATGGAAAAATAAAATCAGATGTAATAGTTCAGTGGAGTGTTTGACTCACTGTTTTAGGATCAGATCGTTTTATTTAAAGTCATTGTGAATGTTGGATTCATATTATCTCTGTATAGATACCAAAATATTTAGCATTTTCTTTATTAATTGATCACAGTGTTTTTATTTTTTAATCATTATAGCCGCGCAGCCTCTGACGACTAGCTAAGAAATGTTGCTAGGTAACCAGTCATTGGTTACCTAGCAACAACTTGTTGAGTAACTGCCGCAGCAGCAGTTTAAGATTCCGCCACTTTGCCTCATAACTGCCACGAGTTTTCCAGATATTTAGAACAAAAAACCATTTGATATTATCGATGTAGACTGATATGAAATTTTTATATCGTCATATATCTTTCAGCCATTTTGCCCAGCCTCATTTTTAACACACAAGCTGTATTTGTCTTTTAGTGACCAGTTGTGCCAGCTGAACCACACAATGAGAAAAAACTGCCGCGTTGCAGTGAAGACCACCAACTTCTACTGGTTGGTGTTGCTGCTGGTGTTCCTCAACACGGTGGCCAGCGCCTCGGAGCATTACGGACAGCCAAAATGGCTCACAGAAATGCAGGGTAATGGGCTCTTTGCACCTAAGGCGTTGACGTCACATCTCCAGGAGCTAATGCGGCTCACTTTTTTCCGCTTTGAGT